GTACCATTTCTCTCAGAAATAAATAACAATCAAAACAAATCTCGAACTCCAGATCGCAAAAGACCACGAAAATCATACGAACCGAAAATTTTAGATAACAGTCAGACAAAAAATTAAGGACTAATAATTTAAAAATCGCCTGTAGAAAAAAATAGTTCCGATACGATCTCGTAGTGACACCGCATAAGCAAAGAGTAGGTTATATTAAACCGAAAAAAAACAATGTTTCACTTCTTAACAAAAATATATTCAAAAATTCGTTTCTTTAGCAAAAACGGAAATAAATTTTAGTATGAGACACTACAACCATACGTGAAATTTTACAACTAAGAGCTCGGATAACAACACGCAAACAAAAAATTTAAGTTAAAGACCTTTTTGTGAAACCGAATTAAGGACACTATCATCTCTAAAAAGTGAAAAAACAATAACATTTACCGACGGCGAACAACCAGTCCAATTATAAAACTGGAAGCAAACCATATTGAACAAGTTTCATTCACATTAAAATCATTTGACAAAAACTGATTCAAGGAGAAGACGAAAAAATTATGGATTACTTTGTTACATATTTTGACTGATGTCCAGATATTGGTCAATCATAATGACAAGTACAACATTGTCGCAATCTCAAATCAAACGTTTTGCAAAGGATATGGTCCATGCAAACCTGATTTTCTCGACTTGAAAATAAACAGGCAGATACTTGACAACTTATTATTGAATCTGCGCGACATAACCTCACAATATGGGAATTTCACGATTAAAATCTTACCACCAGATTCAAATGATTGTACTCACCCGCAGAGTGTACAAAAAATGACCTATAAACAAGTTTTTCAAATTTTTCACGGAAAACAATAAAAAACTACAACATGAAAATTCACAACGAACAAGTTTAATTTTCTCAAATTATGTTTTTCAAACAATTTATAGTCTTCGTCGTAAATTAAAATGAAATCTTTCACGCATCACCAACACAAACATCACCACATGCAATTTAAGAGAAGAAATAATATTTTTGCTTCAAAACTTTGAGATACAATCCCAGAAAACCTCAAAAAGTCTGACATACCCGCTCAAAAACTTTAGCACATAACTGATAACTGATGAAATAGGACATAAATTAGATCACATAGAGCAATCTAGAAAACATATCCACACAAGCTGTGATGATTTTACAATCCTTGCAGATCAATTAGGTTGGAATTAGCACTCTGAGATTAGCAAGATGTTTTAATTGATATACCAAGCGCAATCGAAATTTCAAATAACTTCAATTGATGAAGATAACTTAAAAGTCGTCGGCTTAAAAGCAGAATAAAACATCAAATTAAAACACACATTTTTCAAAACCGAACAAGTAATATCTGTTTAAATTCAAATTTGATGACCTACCACCAGAACTAACTAGTGGCATTTCATCGCATAAAGTACGAGAGATGACATAGATATGAACTTTCAAAATACACAGATTACATTAAAAATATACAAAATCGAATGTCACGACGGCCAAATTTAGTTTTCACTAATGATGTTTATGCAATAATTTAGTTCTGGCATCAATAACATCTCCATCCTAGATTCAATTGAAAAACTTCACATATCACCACCACAAATACAACGACATGCAAAAAAGGTATACATAAGACATTCAACACGACATGCAAAAAATTTTTTCCTTTGCAAAATTTTCTAAGCAATCCGAGAAAACCTCATCGGCACTGACCACTGATATACCCGCTATAGTAGAACTCGATCTTCAAACAGTTTTATCATGGTTCAATAATGACTGTTTTGAACATAAAATAGATCTCATAGAACAACCTAGAAAACAATTCCGCGCAAACAATCTAGAACAATCAAATAATGTTTGCAAGTTTAAATGATATCACAAATTTTATAGACAAAAGAAACACATTTTCAAGCTCAGCGTTTCAAACAAGCTCGAATAATGATGATCTTTAAAAAAACATCGCGTTAACAACAGATAAAAATCATTATTTTACCACACACATTCAAAACAGAAAAGGTAATATCTGTTTAAATTCAGCATTCTATCTAATAGGAGACAACTTGAAGGAAATCATAACACTAAATCAACAAAAATTTCATATCTCATTAAGTTTACAAATCAAAGAATTGTTACGACAATGCCAGTAACAGCACAACAAAGTATCTCATCAAGTATAAATTATACCACTCCAACACTCAAAGCTAAAATCAAAAATGAACCAATTCTTTTTGATGCGATTTTATCTATGAATTATCAAGCATATAGACCAAAAAAAAACAAAAAAATCTAGTTCTACAGGAAAACACAAAATAATTCTATTTTCAAACCAAAGCTAAGGCTTTTTTGCCATCCCTAACCAGATCAAGCTCGAAAAGAAACCTCACATTAAATAGACTATACTTACTACCACCAACAACCCTAAAAATTCAAGATCACACTCTCTCAGCAAAGGAATCAAAAAACCATTTCTCAGTAGATGACCTTTCTTTTCGTAAAAACCAACAACCACGACATCAACTTAACCAAATGAAATATCAATCGTTCAATGAAGAACAACCAGATCAATTTGAAACAATTTTTGATCCACAAAAAAGGCAACAACGCAAAACTAACCACCCACTTGAACCAATTTTTACAATATCAAACCAAAAACTAGCAACGAAAAATCAAAAACCTCTCAAAATAGCAATTTGAAAAAAAAAAGCAATACGATTGCCATATTACTTACATGACATGAAGTGAGTAGGCACAAGCTCACAGTTTTCCTTGAAATACGAAATACAGCAGAGTTGCTGCAAATGACAATGAATCCAATTTCAAGATGAATTTTTGTTAATATCAAAAAACTCGCCAGGAACAGACCATGAATACTATGTTGAAGGTTAGTTCATTCCCGTAACGGCATACCTAAAATGAGTTCTATGATCAGATTTGATTTAAAAAATTTTCTCAAAATTTGATTAAAAAACATACAGCAGTTTTACAAATGCACTCGACGGAGCAGCCAAAAAAAAATCCGATTGGAAATGTTTTGCCCAAGAATTTTCAAAACTGATGAAATCCGAAAGATATGAACAACATCAAAACTTTCAAGTACTGAAAAACCGATGGTTATCAAAAGAACAAATCAAACAATTAGACAAAATTTAGAAACGCTGGTAATGAATGCAAACTCTAGAATTTCACATGATTGCAAAATCACACATATGACAGAAACTTTGATAAAGACCTCAGTACCGCAATTGAAAAAATACAATATATAAAACTTATTTAAGACTCTGAAAACAAACCTGCAGAAAAAAATACACAATTAGCCATCTGATTCGACAGAATCCCAAACTTTAAAGGAAAGCGTTATCAAAAAAGGGAGGCAGATTTTGTAGAGATCGATCTCACGTGTCAACAAACTCAAGAAATGTTTTCACCGAACCAACTCAAGAAATACCTTCCCAGCTAAACCCAAGAAATACCTTCCCAGTTAAACTCAAAAAATACCTTCCCAGTTAAACTCAAGAAAATTTCTCCTCTAGTATTGCTATTGAAGAACCGTTCGAGATCTCTCCTGTTTTGTTCGAGTAAGTGTAGTTTGATTGTCAATTCAATTTGCAAATCAATCTGAATTGATTTTCAATTTGCAAATCAGACTAAGATGCTTTTGCTCATGCCTAGCCTAAACCTCCCCCATTAATAACTTTAAGACATTATCCTAACAACTCCATTAAAATGATTCAATTTTGATGTTAAAAACACGCAGATTCATTTTATGTTTCAGCACCATTAATTCTTCAGATTTTAATTGTCATGCCAATTACATTTAAATTCATCTACCTGACTCGTACCCCCTTTTGCCTAGCTCAAGAACCTTGTGCCTCCCAACTCAAGACTTCCATGTTCGTTCAAAGCTCAGGCGATACTCAAGTAGTACTTCTTTTGTAGGTGCACCATGATCTCCGTTTCTGCGAAGACCACATGTAGGATGGTGTATAACTCTTTGGACCATGAAATCCCTCAACCTCGTTAGTGCCAATATTACGTGCTCGGGGTCTATCGTGTTCCTCTCTTTGACCCTCGCCGCCAAAAAACACAGATATTTACCAGTAACTTGTGAAACTGAAGGAAGAAGCGAAGCCATTCATCCTAACCCTGTTCTCTGCCTGAATCGAAACTCCACGTTCTGATATTCTCTTTTAAAGTCTGCTTTCAGCCTCGTGTTGAAGCTCATGTCCGCTGTTATGCAGATAGCACTCGTCCTATATGACAAAATGAAGTCGCTGTCTGTGATCAGGATGTTCTCTGAATATTCATTCGGTATCTCAAATTTTGTCTTGAAATTTCCTCCTATGGTAGGCTCAGCTTCCTCTTGATCCAGTTCCAACCCGTTAGTCTCTCTTATTTCCCTGAGCTTCTCTATCATCAAATTTTCGGTGTGGGTAAGTCCTACCCCCACTCCCCGGACAAAAATCTTTATCGACGTCCGGTGGTTATCCGGTGGTATCCGGTGGTATCCGGTGGTATTTCTTTAAGTTATCCGGTGGTATTTCAAGCGAGCGGTCTGTGCCTGTCCAACCAAATAGTGGATTTCCTCTCTTCACATGTTTCATTGCTGACACGTTGACTTGTTGGATGTTTTGCTCCTCCCTTTTGTCAGTCTTGAGATTATGCATCCAGTGCCCTCAGATTTGTGTTTTCCCTTCTTTTTATCTCGCTTTGTTCCAGGTCTACTTCTTAATCCGGTACTGAGTAGTCTTCTTGCAAGGAATGCTCGCTGTCGTTGATGATCTGCCACTCTTCATCGACTGCAAGCTCACCCATGTTTACCAACTCTTCGCTTATCTCATCTGGTTGTATTTTGTCAATCAAGAAGTCGTCACCATACCGTTTGTATCTCATGCCTGCCTGTTTGCGAACGCCTTTCCTCGTCCCTGTGGTCATCGGCTGGTCTGGTTCTGTCCACTTTGGTACTTTTTTTTTGCTCCGGGTCATTTCAATTTTCCTCCGCGAAAGATCTTTTGTCCGAATCTACCTCTATCTTCTCGTTGTCTTCCATGCTCACGTCCTGGTTGCCGTCATTCTTCTTTCTGGTGCCTTCCTCGTTCACCTCACATGCTGGTTCTACCAGTAGGTACTCTAGTCCTTCCATGTTTTCTGGCACACACCAGTCCTCCAGAGATGGGACGTGAGGTTTCAGATTTTGGTAGTGCGCCGCACGCCCTGTAATCAAGCGATATAACGGGCCCTGCGGGTGTACCTCTGTTATCATAAACGGTTCTCTCCATTTCTTCAGTAACTTCTTAAACCCTTTTAGGGGTATGACATTCTGGAATACCCAGACGTATTGACCCCCAGCATTCGGTTTCGCCTGAAGTTTTTTTTCGTCGTACTTCTTCCGCTGTCCCATTTGAGCCTGCGCCGTGTTCCTTCTACAGAGCTCGTTCAATTCTTTTTGTCTCCTGACCGCTTCCTTCACGTACGCATGCGGCGACGTCTTCTTCCCTTCGTATTCCAGATAGAAGAATGTCAGGGGCATTGCTCTCTCCCTGCCAGTCAACATCATGAAAGGATTGATCCCTGTTGTTGAGTGCTGCGTGCTGTTATACGCTCCTACCACTTGTGGCAGATATTTGTCCCAATCTGTCATGTATCTCGAGCAATTTACTCTGAGCATGTTCACCAGAGTTCTGTTGTGCCTTTCCACTAATCCGTTTGTTTGAGGATGGTAGGTTGTTGACTGCGCTTGAGCAATATGGGATCTCCTCATGAGCTCTTTTGTCAGGTCCCCCACAAAGGGTTTCCCATTGTCCGACTGGAATGTCATCGGACAACCGTATCGTGATATCCAGTGCGTTATCAAATGATCACAAATCTCTTCCGTTGAGGCCGTCTGACATTATGCCGCGTCTGCCAGTTTCGTGAAGTGTTCTATAATTATCAGTATCTGATTGTATACCGAGTCGGTCATGCAGATCTTCTGATTATCTATCTGCACGACTTCGTTGAATTCCGAGCTTTCCACGGAGTTAAGTGGGAAATTTGTTTTTCTAGGGTCCTTCACTTGCAAACACGACAAACATGCGTTCACCCACCTTTCACAAGCCTTTCTCAACCCTGGCCAATCAAACCTGTGTAGTATTCTTTGCTGTACCTTGTCTTTCCCCTGATGTCCCATTTGGTCGTACGATCTGAACAACACTTTTGTCTGGTGTAGCTGTGGTAATATGATGAAATTATGCTTGTGTAGTATCTTCTCCTCATCTTTCCTCCTACAGACTACCACATCATCAGCTGTGTGATAGAATAAGTCCCTTATTTCCTTGTAGAGCTGGCTCAAGATCTTGTAACTATCCTCCTTCAGGTCACCTTTCTCATTGTGTACCGTTCGGATTCAATTGGAGAAGTTGCTCGTCATATTGTCAATCTTCTGGGCTCGTATCAGATCAGATAGTCTGTATCTCGCTTTGACGTGTTCCTTCAATACAGCATTTGACCATTCAGTTCTCCGGGACTGTGGATGTCGTCTTTTAGCTTAACGCAAACTATCCTTCTCAAGACCTCCCTGTCATAACCCGGTTCCAGCTTCGTCTTGACGTTTGAGTTGCATGATAGCTCCCTGAAAGGTTTCCTTGACACCGCCATCTTCTCAAGCTCTTCTCCTACGTATGCATCCTGTTGCTTTAGTCTGTAAGTTCCTGCGGAAGAGTCTGTTTGTAGTTCCGTGTCTTGGTGCCTCATTTTCTCTTCTGCTAATATCATGCAAAGACTGTCTTGATCATCACCACTCTTCTCTGAGTCATCCTCCCATTCTTCCGACTCGCCGAGCAAATTCTCTTCCTCACTGTCTCCTTCTGATTTCGACCATTCCCCGGACTCTTGATCTGGTCCTAGGTGTTCCGCTTCCTTCTTGAAAGTCACTTTCTTCTTCGGAAGCGTATTCTGTCGTAGTATGTCTTCTCGACCAAAGTCCGTACAACTTATTTGTCGTCAGGTTGCCTTATTGTTGAGTCCTCGCCTTGAGCCACTTCCCTTTTTTTCAATATGGTGACTTCCGGTTTGTCTTTATCATTGTTCCGGGATACCGGTTTATCGTCGGCTAGATTCTCGAGTAGTTTCCCCAGATCTTCTCCTATCGTCACCCTTCTTGTCTCCACATCATTGAGGTCATAGCCTTTTGCTTTTAGTGTTTCTCTCACTATCTTCGACTTGAGCATCATTTCAAATGGCATCCCTGTTTTCCTCTTGAGAATTTTTTTCGTCTCGTGTTCTGCTGGTAGCTCGGGATGGTCCATTATTGGTTTTTTTGACTTGTCAAGCCACCTCGTGAGTGGGACACTGTCATACGTCTCCTTTCCCATAAATGAGAAGCCATCTTTGATTTCCGGCCTGTCGGCCTCCCTTTGCTCCTGTCTCTCTCAAAACTCCGTCTTTTTGCTCATGTTGTCGGCAGTTTGATGATTTTCCCTTGTTCTATGCTCAATAATCAAGTTGTAACCATCCAGGCGCACTATCCATCTCCCGATGCAGCTCTGGTCCATTGAGTACGGTTTTAACCAATTGAGTGCTCTGTTGTCGACTCGCAGCTTGAATGGCTCGCTACCCAGGTATGTCCTATATTTTTCTACAAAAGTGACTACCGCCAACTTTTCCGCTTTGGCTGCTCCGTATTTAATCTCTGTATCACTGAAGACTTTGCTCCCGTAAGCTATCGGTCTCAAGACTGTCTTTCCGTTCCATTCCTGTTCTTGGTGGAATATTCCAGAGATCGCTACCAACGATGCAACCGTGTGCAGCACGTACTTTCCCTTTTCCGTGGGCATCCCCAGCACTAGTGCTTCGCACGTTTTTATTCTTTGAAATGATACCTCTGCTGCGTTAATCCACGTGGAACTATTACCCCCGTGCCTCATGAGTTGTTGCATTGGACATACTTTGTCCGCATAGCCCTTGATGAACTCCCTGTAGTAGTTTGCGAAACCCAAGAAGCTCATCAACTGGTGTTCTGTTTTTGGCGATTTCCAAGTCAGAAATGCCTCTAATGCATCTGGGTCTGCTCTAATACCATGTTTGTCCACCATTCTTCCCAGGTATTTGATGGAGTCCTTGAGAATCTCACACTTTGATGGCTTGCATTTCAGTCCTGCTGTCTTCATAAACCACCACAGGGTCATTCTTGGTGGAGTATTCCAGAGATCGCTACCAACGATGCATCTGTGTGCAGCACGTACTTTCCCTTTTCCGTGGGCATCCCCAGCACTAGTGCTTTACACGTTTTTATTCTTTGAAATGATTCCTCTGCTGCGTTAATCCACGTGAACTTCTTATCCTTGTGCGTCATGAGTTGTTGCATTGGATATACATTGTCCGCATAGCCCTTGATGAATTCCTTGTAGTAGTTTGCGAAATCCAAGAAGCTCATCAACAAGTAATCTGTTTTTGGCGGTTTCCAAGTCAGAAATGCCTCTAACGCATCTGGGTCTGGTCTAATACCATGTTTGTCCACCATTCTTCGCAGGTATTTGATGGAGTCCTTGAGAACCTCACATTTTGATGGCTTGCATTTCAGTCCTACTGTCTTCATACAAGCAAACACCTCGTCCAGTCCTTCAATGTGGTCCTCTAGTGTAGGTGTTGCAATCAGCACGTCATCTACGTAGCACAGTAGTAAATTGCCATATTTCTTTGTTACGTTTTTCAGCGCTTGTGCCATCAGTCGTTGGAAGGTTGCTGTCGCATTGCAGAGGCCAAAGGGCATCCTCTTCCATTTGAAACATTCCCAGTTCGCATGCAAAACCCGTCTTGTCCCTGTCTTGCTTCCTCAGTGGTACCTACCAAAAGTCCGACCCCAGATCAAGAATTGTGAAAAATTTTTGCGTCACCTAATTTTGAGAGACTTTCATCTATCCCAGGTCTGGGATAGGCATTTTTCACCGTGACGGAGTTCAGACATCGAGAGTCACAAAAAAATCTAAGTTGTTCTCCTTTCTTTTCAGCCATCACTACTCCACACGCCCACGTTGGTTTGGTTGGTTTTATCATGTCATACTCTAGTAGGGTCTCTATCTCTTTTCTACAAGCGTCCGATTTGTTTGGGGTCATACGCCTCGCCCCCTCCCTATGCGGCACCACCGATTCTTCTAGCTCTATTTCATGTTCAACAAAAATGCAGCATCCATTGTCTGCTTTATGTCCCATAAAAACATCCCAATTCATATCTAGAACGTCTTTGATGGCTTCGAGCTGTTCGTCTGTTACTTCCCCTTTAAATGTTCAATCTCTGGTAATACTGGTTTATCCATTTCCATTTCTTCCAGCGTGGGTCTTTCTGGAATATTCGAACAGCACGACAGTCCATCGTCTGTCTCTGACTTAAGTGACTTCACAACACCTGATGAATTTTTTATTTTCTCCAATCGTCTCAAGATAAAAACTCTATCCCTGTGATTAGGGAAATCAAGAACTTCGTTTCCTTTCACATTTTCAGTCATTTGATATCTAGTTTTCACGGGCAGTGCGTATCCTAGCTTCCTCCTCCTCTGGATTGTGATTGGTATATCAAGAGTATTCAACGAGACACTGGTGCAGAGGCCACTCTTGGTTATCGTGAAGGATCTTCCTAAAATGGCAGCACTTTGACTGTTTGGAATTGGTACTAAACTTACTTGTTTTTGTCGCTGAGCTCATTATAGTTTTTCATCCGTAAACTAACTATTGCCGCCTCATTCGCTTTCAGCCTTACCCTCCTATTCAAGAAAACTGCAGCCTTACTTTCATTCGCCATTATCAAATTTACCGGTTTAATTACCTACTTACTTTCCGGGTTTCGAATCCTGAACATCACATTGTTAGGATCAATTGTTACATCGAAATTCCTGATGAAATCCCTGCCTAGAATGAATTGGTCAGACTCATCTAGATTCTCCACCACCAGAAAGCTCATCGACATATTGCGTTTTTTCAGGTTTAGGGCTATTATAGGTGTTCTACCTATAACCCGAAGAGCCCCCTTGTTTGCCGCTGATAGCCGTATTCATGAGTCAATCGGGTCATCTTTGTCGAATCCCATTCTTCTCCAAGTCTCAATTGGTATTACACTCAAGACGGCTCCCGTGTCCAACAGCCCACTCAGTTGTGTCTTCTTTCCGCTTATGTCCAATACGTGTGCAGACACATCTGCATCCGTTCCCAGCATGGCATCCTCTTCCAGCGAAGCACAGAGGCCAATGGATCTCACTTTTAATTCCTCTCTACCATTATAGACTTGCCCAGCTAGATCCTCATCACATGTTATCATCGTTTTGGTGTAAATATTTAAACCATCTGTATTCAACATGACCTCATAGGGTCCATAAGCTTCCGTGTATATGTTGTCTATGCGAACTGATTTACTACCACTTCTCATGAGTAATGCCCTTAGAGCTCTAGAAGGAGTTTGCGGGCTTATTGCACTCAAGTAAACCGCGTACACATCCATGTGCATAAGTGTCTGATCACTCGCTTCATGCAGGTTTCTTGTTACTTCGTGGCCGCCCACTGTGATTACTGACATGATTCTTGCTCCAATATTCGTGATGTCAAAGGGTTTTCCAGTCACTATTTTCAAGGTGTTGCAGTTGCCCCTGCTCACCGAGTTCACTCCGGTCTCTGGTTCTGGTCTTGTCATACAGAGCGTTTCATTCAACCTCTGTTTTTCTTTTTCCTGTTTCAGCCGTTGTTCGATTTCTTTGGTCGCCAAGTCTTGCTTCATTTTGTTGATCGCCTCTACAGCTGCTCTCTCGTAGTTTATCACTAGAGAGTTTCTTTTTTCGGGCCCCGTGGCATCTT